TCGGGCTTTTAGGACTTGTCTCTGGAAGAGAAGGCTTTTCTCTGTCCGGCTTCACCACCTTGTGTGAAGCTTGAGTACCACCCGTTTTCAGAAAGTGTTTTTCTCTGTGTTTAAGAAACCCCTCGAGTAGTCCAGACTGTTGGCGCTTTGGCTCGAGAGCTATTAATATCTGTACTTTGGGCAGCCGGGTAGGGGGGGGGCAGAACGAAGAATGCCGGGACTGAAGGATTCCTGTTGACAAGTTTTTAGGGGAATTTCATTTGTTGATTTGCTGGGTTTTTGTTTCTTTGTTTTTAAGTTAGAATGGGGAAAAGAAAAAAAGGAAGTCAAATCAACTTTCCCTCTTGGAGGAAGAGGCTTTGTCCAACTGTAAAGCCCAAGTTTTCACTGAAAAGACATTCCCCCAACCCCCCACCCCCTCCCCGGTAATGGCAAACCTTGCAGTTCTCTGTGCTTTTCCCTTTGTTCTATCCAAGTCTATTCCTTTAAAACGACTTTCATTATGGACCCAAGCTGGTGTCTATAATAACGTAGACAGCAAGCATTTTCTTTCTGGAGAGAGAAGTTTTCAAAATTATTTCTAATATTCCAATGCATCAGTGTTGCAACCGAATAAAATAAAGTTTATCACAGAGAATAATGCATTGAATTATAAATTATTCATAATGCCTACATAAGTTTTGTGCAAAATAATTTGTTGTAGACTACTGCTTGACACTTTTTTCCCCTTCCTATTCTGGAACTAGGGCCCACTCTTCTGTTTGTAAAAGTGAGCCAAGGAAAGGAAGAAACACGGAAGTTTTATGCCTGCTCAGCCTGTAGAGATAGAAAAGATTGTAATTTTTTTCAGTGGGAAGATGAAAAGGTATGATAATATTTTGGGCCAGTTTTATTGAGAATGAACTAATAAACATGCAGTTTAAACATTATATGATATTTATTCTAATCCACTGGTATTATTAAGATTTGTTTTTAATGTGCATGTGTTTGTGTGCCTTTTTATGGGTACGTTCAAATGTGTGCAAGTGCCTGTGGATATCAGAAGAGGTCCTGGGATCCTGTAGAACTGGAGTTACAGGTGGTTGTGAGCATCCTGATGTGGGTGTTTTGAATAGACTTTGGTCTTAGGGTAGTATTTTATCTCAGCTGCTGAGCCATCTCTCCAGCCCCAGGACAAATAATGTATGAGGGATGAAAATCCCAAGCTTTAGATTTCTTTTTTTTTTAATTCTGGGGAATGGAGTTAATTCTCTGAACTTTGGTACTGTTGCATTACTGTCTCAAAAGATAATTTGTTTGTGTAGTCAACCTCTGTGTTTTTAACTTCAAATTTATTATTTATTTAATAAATTTAATTTAATTTTTTTTTTTTGAGACAGGTTTTCTCTGTGTAGTCCTGCTGCCCTGGAACTCATGATGAAGATCAGGCTCTCTACAAACTCACAGAGATCCACGTGCCTCTGCCTCCTGAGTGCTGGGATTAAAGGCATGGACCACTAGTCCCAGCAACTTCTACTTTTGTAACAAGAATATTATAAAACAACAATCATGCCAGGCGTTGGTGGTGCACGCCTTTAGTCCCAGCACTTGGAAGGCAAAGGCAGGCGGATCTCTGTGAGTTCGAGGCCAGCCTGGTCTAACTCATGATGAAGATCAGGCTCTCTACAAACTCACAGAGATCCACGTGCCTCTGCCTCCTGAGTGCTGGGATTAAAGGCATGGACCACTAGTCCCAGCAACTTCTACTTTTGTAACAAGAATATTATAAAACAACAATCATGCAAGGAATTGGTGGTGCACGCCTTTAGTCCCAGCACTTGGAAGGCAAAGGCAGGCGGATCTCTGTGAGTTCGAGGCCAGCCTGGTCTATAGAGCGAGTGCCAGGACAGGCTCCAAAACTGCATAGAGAAACCCTGTCTTGAAAAACCAATAAATAAATAAAATAAAATAAAACAACAATTATTTATGCTTCTAGAGCTCTGGAGACTGGAGAAGTCCAATCTAAGAAGGCAGGGGTGTGTGTGGCGGGGTGTCTACCCTCCTGATAATAGTGACTGAATGAGGTTTTCTGTCTTTTCAGTTGTCGGAAGCTAGACTTGCTGCCCGAGAAGCTCATAACCAAAGACACCAACCCCCTCTATCCCGAGCACAATGCATAGAAAGGTACTGGTGTGAGGTCTTTATTATTTGGCAGTAATGTTATTTTTATTTTTCCTGTTCCTTTAAGCTTACTTTTTATTTATTTATTTTTATCACAAGCCTTTCCATTTGTAATGTGTACAGTTCACTGGCTTTGATTACATTCATAATGTGTGCAACCATTACTGCTGTTTCCTAAATGTCTTTATTCTGTCAAACAGAAATTCTGTCACCATGAAGTAATGACTCCTCATTCCACCTCCTCTAAACCGTGGTGACCTCTTACCTACCTTTTGTTGCTATGAATTTAATTATTCTGGGCACATATGAGTGGAATAATATATTTGTTCTTGATAGCTATGATTTTTACAGTTAGCATGTTTCCAAGGCATATCCACATTAGAGCATATTACAAAGCTTTCTTTTTCACTAATATTTCATTGTATGTATGAACCACATTCTGAAAATCCATCCATCTGTTGATGGGCATTGGGTTTGCTTGTACTCTTTGACTGTTGTGAATAATGTTATAGTGAACACAGACATAACAACTATGTGTTTTCATTTATTTCCAGTGGACACAGAGGGGGCTTTGCTTGGTCATGTAGTAACTGTTCTTTTTGAGGAGCTGACAAACTTCCAAGGTGGCTAAAAACAATTTAATGCTCCTGTCGGCAATGGATAGAGGTTCTCTATGTTCTTGCTAACATTTTCTTTTTCTAAATGAACTTGAGTGCTCACTTGTCCTTGAGACCTTGAGCAGCTCCATGGCTGTACGGCAAAAATCTGTCTAGCTATGGGCTTAAAAAATGGATTTATTTTTATGTTATGAGTGTTTTGCCTTCATGTGTGTCTGGGCACCATATTCATGCCTGGTGCCTATAGAGGCCAGGAAAGGGCATTGGATTCCCTGGAACTGGAGTTGGAGATGGTTGTAAGCCACCATGTTCATGCTGGGAACTGGAACTGGGTACACTGGAAAGTAGCCTTTCTTAACAGATGAGCCATCTTTCTAGCACCCCCCCCCCCCTCCCCCCCTTTTTTTTTTTTTTTTTTTTTTTTTTTTTTTTTTTTTTTTGTGTGTGTGTGTGTGTGTGTTTTGAGATAGGATCTCAAATCCAGCTCTCTGTCTGGATTTGATGTTATAATCCTCATGCTTCTGCCTCTCAAGTTCAGGGTTATAGGTGAAAGCTGTAAATATTTTAAAACTGGCATTATTAGAATGTTATTGGGTGAATTGGAATTCGTAGATTTATTCTGGTAGGAAACCTGTGACAAGAATTCATTTCTGCCTTGACTCTTAGGAATAGTACTTCATGTGCTGGACGAAGCTGTACAGGAAGCCCCATCTGATTGACAGTTTACTGATGACAGATAAGTTTTCATTTATAGTGCTTGCTTTTGCTATCCAGGTTTCAGCATTCAGCACTGTGAGGCCTTATTCTGACCAAGTAAAAAGGAGTCCTGAGGCCTGTTTAAAATACCTTGCTTGAATCTGGGTGTGGTTGTGAATTCCTTTAATCCCAGTACTCTAGTCAGTGGTAGGTGGTACTCTCTGTGAGTTTCAGGCCTGCCTGGTCTATATAGGGAGTTCCAGGCCAGCCAGGGCTAGGAAGACAGATCCTGTCTTGAACAAAATGAAACAAACAAACCCAACCTAAACTACAATAAGTGAATAAGTAAATACAATATCTTGCCTGAGCTTTCTTAGACTTGTGATAGAGGATACTTTTCTAAAGATAACTTGATTGCCCCTTTATTGTCAGTACATAACCAGAGGTCTATTTCCTGTATAGAAACTCAGTCAACAGTGAAAAATGTTGAGAAGGGAGTGAGTATGAGTGAACACTCCTGTGAGGCTCATGCTCTTGCAAGATATTTTACTTGAGATGACATTCAGTCCTGCCAGGGTGGCCAGCTTGGGTGGGAAAATGTAGGCTTGGAGCAGTGAAGGAACTTGAAGGTCATCCTGTTAAAATGATTGAACTGAGATTCCTGCTTTCTGCCTCTCTAATTCAAAGTATCATGTTAGACATGAAAACAAATTGTAAATAGAGACCAATAATGACTTACTATATGTAGACAGGAGATAAAGATACATCAGGATTATTATCATCACTGTAGGCAGCAGAATATCAGTGGTTTGGGAAATAGAAAAGCATGGCCTGTGCTTTCTGCCCAGTAACCCATCCCTTTTGCAGTCATGTAGGATTTGCTACTAGCTTTTTTTCCCCTCTGCATATTAGACTTCTAGTCTGGAAGTGGAGTTCTGTTCTCATCCCCATACTGCCAGAGTGTGGGAGTTATTTTTCACACATGTTCAAGGCAAACACCTACCATTTAACTATGTTTCCAGACCAGATAAAGTATATTTTATTTTGGATTTTTGAGACAGGGTATCTGTTATGATAAATCGAGAAGGGAACCTTGCGTGGGTATAAAACCTGAGAGACCCCCTAAGCCTGCCCCCATTCTCTACCTCTGCCCATGTCTCCATGTCTCTTTACCTCTTTTCTCTTTCCTTCCCCACTTTCCCTTTCTAATAGCATCTCTGTGTAACAACTCCAGCTGCCTGGAACTTGCTTTGTATACCAGACGGGCCTCAAACTCACAGTGATCCACCTGCTTCTGCCTCCTGAGTGCTGGAATAAAAGGATATACCATTATGCCTGCCTGAGAGGCAATTTTTAAAATCTGTTTTTAGATTTATTTTCTTTTATGTTTATATTTTGCCTGCAAATATGTATGTTTACCATGTGTGTCCCTAATGCCCAAGGAGGCCAGACGAAGGTATTAGATTTCCTGTAACTGGGATTATAGATGGTTCTGAGCCATCATTTGGGTACTGGGAGTTGAACCCTGGTCCTCTGTAACAGCAACAAGTGTCCTTAACCATTGAGCCATCTCTCCAGCCCCTGTTAAATAAATATTAAATGCTTAATTAATATATAAAATTGGCTAAAATATGAAGTATTGAATTTCCAAAAGGCTATTTGTGGGGGAGAGCAGTAACTACATCTATTTTATGCTGATCTCTTGAGAGTATGTTTTGATAAACTAATCTTCAAAATCTTAAACCATGTATGATCCATAACCTTGGGTTTATTGCCAGAAACATCCCTCCCTTCAATGATTTGTTCATACAACAGGTATTTGTTAGGAGTTCACAGAGAACGTAAGTGCTGTCATTAGAGCCAGTATATATATGTGTGTGTGTGTGTGTGTGTGTGTGTGTGTGTGTGTGTGTGTGCTTAAATCTTTGTAGATACAAAGATGTAGAGTATGAAGGATGTGTTGAGTGAGCTTCAGCTCACTTTGTTGAGATGACTTAGATGCTCAGGGAATCGAGGACATTACTGCTGACTCGTGTAGGGGAAGCTGTAGCCACGCCTTCTTAGGGGCTGGCTACAGGGGTACCTGAGCAGGCTTGTGAGGGCGTGGTCAGAGTGAGGAGGGGGACTGTTTTTCGGTTTCGGTTTTTCTTTGCTTCTTGTTGTACAGACTACCACGGGCTGGCTGGTTCGCTCAGTAAGTAAGGCTTTTCCCTATTAAATACCCTTATATTTCTACCTGACTCCGTATTGGTAATTTCCTACTATAGACTCGTGTATTAGCTGATCCGAACGCACACAGTGAAGACATGGCATCTAATCGGGTTTGGGAAATTCATAGAAGCTGAATTGATTTCACTGCATTGCTTTTTCGTCAGTGCTCCTATGTTTTGTTATATGCTGTGTGGAGTAAAAGTTCTAGGTAGATAGGTCATTTACTGTAAGATAAATCAATTTGAGATCTTGTCACTTTTAAAGTCAAAGCTCGGTGGATTACCTGTTCCCTTAATATTCCTTCATGTTGAGAGTAGGAGTTCATTTTTGTGTGTGAATGAACCTAAGGATGATACATTCTTTTTTTTTTTTTTTTTTTGGTGTTTCGAGACAGGGTTTCTCTGTGGCTTTAGAGGCTGTCCTGGAACTAGCTCTTGTAGACCAGGCTGGGCTAGAACTCATAGAGATCCGCCTGCCTCTGCCTCCCGGGTGCTGGGATTAAAGGCGTGGGCCACCACTGCCTGGCTAGGATGATACATTCTTGAGATTGTAATTGTTTTCTAATTTAGGTAGTTTAATTGTGTCAACTCATCTGTAAGTTAGCTTATTAAAGAACTATATTGATTCAAGTATAAATTGTATATAAACTTGATACTTAGAGTAGACAGCAACCATGGTCTCAGTGTAGTAGGAAGAGCTTTTTTTCTTTTTTAGATAAGGTCTTTGTATGTAGCCCAGCTAGCCTCAAGCTTGAAATCTTCATGCCTTGATCCCCCCCTACACACACACACACACCAAGTGCTGGGCTTAGAGGCATGGACCATGATTCCCATTTGGCTAGTGTTGTTTTGAAATTGTTAGAAAAGAATAATGCAATAGGATTAATAGATCTTTGTCACCCAGTTTTTGTTTTGGCTTGGGAATGTTGCACAGATTTCTAGTTTATGGAATGGGATTTGATAAGCACTTTCTAACATGGTCCTTGAATTGTGTTATATTTCATAGATGCTCGGCTGACAGATTTACATTTTGTGCCTGAGATTTGTTCTTCCTTATAGTTTTTAGCTGCCTGTTATGCTTTAAAATGTGTTAATATTCTGTTATATGGTGTGCTTCCATCCTTATTGTGACCTATGAAGTCTGAGGGGAAGATAAATTGGAATGTGGAGATCAGTGTTAATTTATGTGCATCCAGATAATTTTGCTTGGTTGATATTTCATTTGGTTATTTTATTTTCAGAACTCATTTAAACTTAGATTTTCAAGGTCTGCTGTTAGACAAATGCCATAAACATAATTTGTGTACTCCAGGAAAGGCAAATGGAACATCAAATGGAGATCAATAAAAATGACATTTCAAAATGCTAGCCTGCAATTTGTGAATCATGCTGAGCCATGCGGCAGAATGAAATTTCCTCTCCCTCAGGGCATGTGCAGTAAATAGGAGGCAGGAGCTGAGTAATCCTGAGAGCTTCCGTC